TTACAAAGTCTAAATGACCCAAGAAATCGAAGTAAGATTATTGAAGAGATCAAAGTAAATATAACACCAAGTATTAAACTTTACTGGGTCAAAGCACACATTGGAATTGAAGGTAACGAGGAGGCGGATCAGCAAGCCAAAAAGGCCACAAGCTTCAGCCGGGTGGGAACGATGCTCCCAGTGGAAAGAACATTCATTATTAGATACATCAAGCAAGCCACAATGAATAAATGGAAAATTGATTGGAGTGAATCAACAAAGGGCAGGCAGACATATAATTTCTTTAAAGATCCCACACTAACTCGCCTGCAGTCAAACTTCTATTTAAACCAATTCTTAACGGGCCACGGAGTTTTCGGAATATATCAGCAGAAATTCTTCAATAAACGAGCAAATTGTAAATTTTGTGGCAGAGTACAAGACATTGACCACCTCATAAAATTTTGTCCCAAATTCCAGAGGATCCGTGGCAGAAAATGGGATCAATACACTCAACATCAACTTTATGCTGATATTGACTGCAGGGAGAAAATCATCGAAATTCTTAAATATACCCTCGATGATCTGCTTGCCCCTGCGAGCACACCTGACTAATTTTATCTGGTTTTATTTTTAAACTTTCGGCTTTTAGGTTTTCTGGTTTTAAATTTCTGCTTTTAGTATTTTACTCCGGCACTTGCCGTTTCCATGACTTTATTCTCCCCTTAAACTGGCATCTTCCTTATACATAGGACATTCAAAATGAAATCTTGCTCTTGGTCAAGTTCAGCACCCTCTGTCTTACCTGGGGTCATCTTTGAGTGTTATCACCTCAGTGAAACTTTGGTTTACCTTAGAACATTTTAATCTTAGAGGCACTTAGCCTTGAAAGGGAGACACTTGAACTTTTAGTCGACTATTTTATTTATTCTATTGGGCTTATTTTAGTCCTTTTATTTTTAATGTGATTTTTCATATTTTACCATTTGATGTTTTACTTGACCTTACTTTTATATGTTTTTACCTGTATTTTTGACACTTTTATTGTCGGTTGATTTTATCCACTTTGATGTTTTAAGCACTTTTAATCTTTATTCTGTTTTATTTTTATTTTACTTTTTCGATTTTGGGATTTTTCCTATGTGTTTTAATCTTTTTAATTTAGTACTTTTACTTTTCTGTAGTTTGGTAGTGTTTAGTCACGTGCAAACGGGTGAAACCCTTATCCGCAAACTCCTTCGGGGGTAGGTCGGTTACTATTGGTCTTACTATACGGGTAAGGGTTTTGCAAACCTAGGTACGTGTCCACGTCTGGAGGAAAAAAAAACGTGAACCTTACTGTGTATTCACGTTAACTGTTTAGTAGGCTAACAGAATCGAACTCCTGATCTACGGTTCTAAGTAGGAAGCAGTTTAACTTTTGCGCTGCCGGTAAACCAACCCATTTTATAAGGGTATTGGATTATTTCAAGATATTAAAAGCAAGCATTTTTACGAAAGTAATCCATGTAAATTAGCATTAAACAGCAACGGTAACCATATTTATTTTCAATATAAACTACCATGTATCAGATTTATCAATATCATATATTATTATTGAGTTAGTTCCATATTAGTATAAATTTCTGGGAAATTATGCTGCATTTTTAAGGAAAAATTCTAATGATTTGGGTTAATTTTTTTAACATATTGCCAGGATATTGTATTCTTATTAAGATTGTAATTGCTTCAATGCATGTTTTAAAGTGTACATTAAGATCTAAGTATTTACATCTATTGATGGAAAAATATTGAATTCAATTAGTTAATTTTGCTGGATAAAAATATTATAATTTGCAAAAAACTCTGACATAAATGCATTAAACACATATAAAAGGAGCTCTGAATCAACACTTTTCCCTTTTTAGCTATAAATTCTCCTTTCTTTTATTTCACCAATTTTAAAACAGAGGCCTTCCCTGAGATCAAATTCAGTGTCAGCTAAAGAAAAATTCAGAAAGAAATTTTATTTTGATTACTCCATTTTTCTATTGTGTAATACAATTCCTCATGGTAAAATTCAAAGCATTTTTCTTTATTACAATAACGTTTCCCATTGGTGGACGAGTTTAAAATAAAACATCGACGTTTATTTAATTTAAACTTTGAAATAATATTTAACAGAGGTTTCTAAGCTTTAAATATTTTAATACATTCTTGAGAGAAACCGGATTTTTTGGAATAGGCAACAATATATATTTTTTCGGAGAAAGTCAATATGAGTTTTCATTAAGAAACAAATATGCAACCAATTAATTATTATTATTTAAGAATAAGTAATGAAGTATGGCAAATTTAGGAACTTTTGCATACTTAATACTTTGCAACGTTTTATTTTTGTTTATAATCGGTTCTGAGTAGCCGACCTATTTCTGAGTTTACGATTATCAATATTCAAATCCTTAGCCTTGTAATTTTATATTCAACCCTGAAGGCAAGGGAGTTCAAGTATCAACATCAGGACAATTTAGTCTTCGTGGAGGTTTTTTAGATGAAACTCATTGGCATTTGCGCTTCGGAGAGGAAAATGACGAAAACTTCTTACGGCTATCGTGATTGCAAATTGGTTATAACTTTTGATATGCCATCCAATGAGCATATTTTACGTCAACACTGTGGTTAGCGAGAATCGAGAGCAAAATTCGTATCAATCAGCCACAGCTAGGATTCGTATCTGATGCACCTCATTGGGGTTCGAACTCTTTATCCCCTGAGTTACCATGGATAGCTTTTTAACGCTTTAACGTTTGATTGTGTTATTGTGTAATTGTGTTATTGTAAAAGCCACATTTTTTCCCATTTTGACTGTTATATTTACATGATTCTCCAAGTATATTTATCCTTTGTTGGAAAAACTTAAAATTCTATAAATCATTTTCGTTTAGGAACATTTTGTAATTTAAAGCATTCTATAACTTAAAAGTATTAAACACATATATTAGGAGCATTGAAGCGAAAATTCGTCCCTTTGGAGCGATAAATTCTTTTTTCTTTCTTCTTTTATTTCTATTTTACCAATTTTACAATACATGTTTTCGATCTGTTGTCAGCTGAAAAAAGAATATAATAAGAAATTTTATCTTGATTACTCCTTTCTTCTATTGGATAGAACAATTCCTCATGGCAAAACCCAGAACATTTCACTCTACAACAAGAAAGTTTCCGATTGTTGGAAGAACTTAAAAGGAAAAATCGAATCCTTAATCTAAGTTTAACGACATGCTGAGTTAGGCCGTTTGAAGCTGTCGGCGAAAGTGACTGGTTGAAGGAAAAAGATCGTCTGCTTCCTTGGATGAGAAATTACTTTTTTTTTTTCATGAAACGAGTTTGTATATTGCTCTTCGTCACGAGTACAGTTGGAAAAATTGGAAGATAATATTTATTATTAGCATGGAAAAAAGCTGAGACTGCAATTTACATTTCAACTTTCGTCATTGTAATTTATGTCCAAAAATGTCTTTTTGAAATGCTATTATTATATGTTTGTCATTTTTTGAAAATTATTGTGATTTAAATTTATGGAAGATGATAGAAAATGGTTTAAATCATATCGAAATATTTTTATCACGAATTAGAAAATTATTTACTGAAAAAGTATATGTTACTGGTTTACTTTCCCTTAGTTTTTAAATAAATTTAATATTTATAGCTTGTATTTTTTGCTCAAAATAATTTATCTTTTAACATTCTAAAATAAAATATTTCAAATATTTGTTTTTCTTTAGTTTTAGTAGCCGGGAAGAGTTTGGTTTTTTGTATCATTAAAATAAATAATGCAAACTGGAATATGTTTAATTCAAATACAATAGATAACTTTGAAAGTTATGCAACTGAATAACTAATTTCTACTCTGTGAAATAGATCTGCAAATGTCACGAAACTTTCCTTGTTTTTGACGAAACCGTTTCTTGGTTTATGCTTTGAGAAAAAACTTTCTTCAAAATTACGAAATAATAAATATAATCACTTTTTCAAGGTAAATTAATTTAATCGAAATCGAAGAAATATTATTTTGCCATTCTGTATTTTTCAAAAAAAAAAAATTTAAAAAACTTTATGGATTACTTATGTATCTAACTTTAAGGAAAAACTTTATTTATGGAAGAACTTTATGTATCTAACTTTTCTAATAATCACTCTATCGTAGGAAACATATAGGTCGATCAAAGCTCTCGAACAAAACAAGAAGGACAGATAGAACATAGAGGCCTGAAGCGGGATTCTAACCCATTATCTAGCGGTACGAGGAACGCTTCATGACTGCCGTGCAGTTTAGTCTACTTGTTTCGTCACTTTATTTTCGATCGTCTAGATTTCGTATTAGTTTCGTCATTCTTGTTCACAATCTCCCACGATGAGGTTTCGAGTTGAGGAAGGATTAGTCACGAAGTGATTAAAAAAAACAATGAAATACAGGTCAAGGCATCGTTGCTGAATCGTCAAAAATATTACCGTTTAATTCTGAGTTCTGATAACTAGACTGCATAAAGAGTTATTTACGTAAGAAATGTATTTTACTGTTGTTCGTTTTTTTTAAATGTTTATGTATGGTGGTACATTATTTGGCATTCGTTACAAGCCTTTGTTAAATGAAAACCTTTTTACTGCAGTTTGAATGTATATATTCTTTTCAAGATATCAATCCTGGAGAAAAGACCGATCATATAAATTATTTGGATGATTAATACATACTTTTGAAGCACTTGTGATTTTTACTTGGGAGTAGTAAGTAGTTTGTGATTATTTATCCACACATGTTACATAAAGTAAAATTGTAACAAGTAAATAAAAAAGCATGCAATGTGCAATAAAATTAATAAACTGAACCTCATTTTGTATACAACATTAAAATTTTCTCTGAACTATCATCTTGCTGATATTTTAAATAATTCAAAATTATTGTATTTAAAAATTGGCATTACAGCAGCGAGTATTTTCACAAACAAAAATCTTTATAATTAAACATGCTTATAAGTAATTACCTTCATACCAGCTTCTCTTTCAAATAAACTTCTACTCAATAAATGTTTTTCTTACCTGAAAAAAACACAAAATTATTAGATAAATGGAATTTGAGTTTATAACAAAAAATATATATTTTTTTCCTCCAATGGCAGGCACTGAATTTGAATCCTTGCCTATACTATGACAGAATTGTTGCTCATTTCGCGTTACCCAGTGGGCACCTGTGAACCAAAGTCACGGAGGCGAGCAACATTGCCCACGCCACACTGCCACAAACCCGTTTATAGGGTGGGCCACATTCACACATCATACACACACACAACAGAGGACAGCACAAAGAGAGAGAGAGAAACACCCATGCCCAGAGCGGGATTCGAACCCGCAGCCTATGGCTTCGCAGTCAGGAACGCTAACCGTAAAAAATATAAAACGAAATATATAATATAATTGAAAAATCATAAAACGGCATTATAGTACAGGTATCGGTTCTCATTGTTCAAAGTTCTTACATTTTCCAGTTCCTAATATATCACTCGTATAAAAACTTCTTAAACAGCAAATTAATGGAGACATGAAGTTAAAATTTGTCTAGGCAGCTAAGAAAAAAAATTTAACATATCAATGATGATATATCAATGAAATGTTAACATATCAATGAAATGTTAACATATCAATGAAATGTTAACATATAAATGAAATATTAACACGTCAATGAGATGATTGTTTAAAAATCAATATAGTTGCTCTAATTAAAATAAAAGTAATATTAATTTGCACAACTATTCATCTTGCTTTGAAACATTATTTTTCACTGTAAGCACTATTTTTTACACTAAACTTTCAAATAGAAATTTAATATCACTTTTACTTCTTCTTAAAAAAGCAAAATTAAATGGAATGCACACGAATTGTTGGGCAAATACAAGCTGGAAGAGTAAAGTGCTTTATTTTAGAATAAACTCAACAAATGTCTTAAATTTCACATAAAGAATAAAAATGTGTATTTCAACAATTAGCTTTGTAATCTCAACGTATGTTTATAATCTTATAATCTCAGCTGTGATTCCTTAATAATCATGAAAATTAAGTGTTCAATATAATTAATTTTCAAAAAGAATTTATTTTTCATTCAAAACTTAAATAATATTTTGAATCAAGAAGAATTTTTCTTTAATATGAGCCTATTATTTTTAATGTCCAATGATGTATGATATATTTCTGTGGTATATCTATACTTATTTGAAAAAAATAAAATGAAAAAAAAAAGTCGCAAATTAAATCTTAGTTAGTGAAAGGAAGTAGAAATTGCTGACCATCAAATAAGACATTTTAAGTTAACACTTTCTATTCCCCTACCCCATTATTAAGTTATTAATATATAATTTATCCAAATGAGTAACATAAATAAATTTTTTTTATTCACTGTATAAAAATAGTCAATAAAAACTGTCTTCAAAATAAATAAAATAGAATAAAATAAAATAAAAGAGGCTAATATTTCTTTTCCTTTCAACTTTTCTTTTCCTTCAACTCTTGATTACATTTTGACAAATTTTCTACATATATATATATAAATGGTAAAAGAAAAGAATGAATTTGCCGGTATAGAACTTCTTAATTTAGAGTCCGATCTTCCTCAATAAACAATTCTCTCTTTCGAACTAGCCAAAGTTAATTGAAGCGGCAAGAATCGGAAGGAGGAATTGATAATCCTAATATTCTCCAAGAGCAATTACAATCCGAAATTTTCATTCCAATCACACCATTTCTCTCTTTGGCTCATTATAGACATTCAACAGAACTTAACGCCGTGCCATTAAATCATCCGCAATCAATTTTCCACCTGATAATCACCTACGCGACAAAATCAGTGCTTAGTGCTCCCCCTTGATCCATCTCAGCGAGTGCATAGCGCATAATTGGAGAACAAGTGCTCGCCCAATCAAGGTAGAAAAGGGGGACTGTCTCTACAGGGACTAGGTATTGATGTCCCTTGCATCTGTCTCTAACGACCACATGACGTGGCGAATGCATTAGATGGCAAACCGCAACAGCAGCTTGGCATGATGCTCCTCCTCCCGTCCACGCCAAGCTTGGCAACATAGGGTAGAAATTCGTTGCTTTTCATTAGTTTTGTCATTAGGTTTCACTTTCTGGAAGTACTGCGGTCGATTTGTCACGCCTTTACAGTCAACCAAGATGAGGTCCATGCCATTCTGATTAGATTGATGCAGCACGATGAGAGAAATAATAAAAAAAAGAATAACTCCATTCTACGGAGATGGCTTTGGGAATTTTAATGATGACAAAGTATGAAAGCATGCGATAATTGTGCGAAATTTAATAGAAGAAGTGAATTATTTTGCTTGTTGAAAAGATACTATCCCAGATAGCAGGCAAATCTATAACCAGCTTTGTCTTTTGCTTTTTATTTCGTTGGTATAAAAAGTTTGACTGATTAATCCCTTTATTAAACTCTGTCGAAAAATTTTTATACAAAACTTGTTCCCTTAAAGATTGAATAAAAGCGTAAAAAAAAACTTTGCAAAAAAAGAAGAAAAAAAAACTCATTTTTCAGCTTTTATTTACATGTTCTTTAAGCCTTGTTTTTACATCTTTTTCCTGCTAGCTTTGACCAGGCCCTGAACGGCGACATTTTGTTTGTGTTAAAAAGCCAACCTTCTCTTCTAAAGTGTTGAAGAAAGTAAATAAAATTCTGCGCAATCGAAACTTGTTTCAGTGCTGATCATAAAATCTAAAATAAACCTTGAGAATTTGAATTTATCCGCGGTGCGAGACCACTTTCCTCTTTTAATTTGCAAATAATGATTCATCCTTGATTTCAGAAGGTTTTTCTAGTCTAGTACAGAAAAGGCAGATTCAATTTCAATATAAAATGGTTGTTTATTCAAGCTTAATGCGCATCTCATAGCACGTAAGCCAGCATAGTTAAGTTCAAGAATGTTTCAAGCTAGCATCATTCATTTGCTTATTATAACCGTGTTGGGCTTTCTGATGAAGATTGTTGCTGAGATTAAAACCAACCTTACAATTCTATTTGAAATGTTGACTCTTAAACTTCGAGAGTTGTTTTAAGCTTAGAGTTCTTCTTAAAAAAATTTGTATGTTTTAATCTTGGTGTAAATGTTTTAGAAACTTGATAAAGAATAAAAGTTAATCAAGAACTAAGTTAACTGATTAGGTGTGCAACAGGTTGAGGTGTAACATAATTTCAAAAGTGCGGAAAAACAACTTATTGAAATCATTACAAACTTTAAAATTTAAGAAAACGTAAGCATGTGCGTTTAGAAAAGTAAGTTTGTCTACGTGAGATTTAATTAGGAAAAAAAATTGTAAAAATAAACGGTTCATTTCTTACGGGCAATGATTTTACAGTGATTTTACTGTCAAATATAATAATAAACCGCTCAAAAATTGCCAATTCGTCAAATGAGTTAGCTTTTTCGAGAATATGTTATGAAGATGCTCTGTAATCAGTTTGATACAGCAATAACGTGCAAACTTTGAAAAAAAAATTATTTTTTTAAAAAGTTAGCCTATTTTGCTTTGTCAGAAACGATGTAGAAACGCTAATGTCATGGGCCACGATAGACTGGTTGGTAGGACGTTAGGCTTGTGCTCGTGAGAGTGTGACTTATAATATCCTAAGCTGAAAAATTCCCTTTGTATTAAATGCTGATTGAACCAGGTTAAATCTGTCGGGGTCACAAAGTCCTCCAAGTTCCCATAACAAATCATTACTTCTAGGGATATTGAATTGGAGTTTGATCGTTCTCTGGTTACGGTTAAAATTACGATCTGTAGATGAATAAATGGAGTATGATTGGTTCCTTCCTGTGTCATGGGCTGTTACGCTTGTGAGGCTGAAGTTGTATCAGCGTCACTGAAAAACAATAAACGCTCCCTCTGTCTTATAAAATTCACTTGGATACCCATAGTAAGGTTTGTCGATATTGGCAAGTGGAATTAGTAGCAACAACAACTAATTTCATGAGCTTAAAAAAAAAAAAAGACTGATGATATGACGACTTTACCTTCAATGTTTCCCTTTAACCTGTAAAACAGAGATAGCGAAAGTAATAACACTTTCAGGCTATATTAATAATCTACGTTAAATAATAACATTGGCAAAATATCGCAATATCCTTATAAGTACTCATGCATCAGCTGAAGAGTATGACGTCATAGTAGGAAGTATGACTATATTTATTGGATTCTTGTCCATCAAGGACTTTCAAGCGCCACTGAGCATTGTTTAACGATTCGAATAAACAGTTAAGCTACATGCCGTTATTTTTGTCGTTTTTCACAAGCATTTTTTCTTTTATTATTAATGACTAAAAGCAATATGAATGCATTGCTTAGAAAAAAAGTTTTTACCCATTCAACTGCGGAAATAGATAAAAATATCAAAGTAGGTTTTTTAATTTTTATATCCTTCACAACATTTTTGAAAAAAATATATAAATATATATATTACAACAATACGAGTCTACTAATTCAACATTAGAGATAAGTATAAATATCAAATTAGTTTTCTTTTATTTATTTATATTCTTCTCAGTTATTTTTAAAAAACAATATCGATACATTGTTTGAAAAAGTTTAACTCATTCAATTTTACAGATAAATATAAAAAGCAAATTAAGTTCTTTTTATTTATTTATATTTATTTGTATTCATCAAATGATTTTTTAAGAAAAATCAGTTTGAAATAGAATTCATGTATCATAATTTATCATTTCCCAATAATCCAATCAAATTCCAATAATTTGACTAAAAATCAAGCATCTCTATTTTAAAAAGCATCTATAACATATTATTTTTATCGTTTAGCTATAAAATTATTCTTCTGATGCCATTTCTTTTCATTTTCATCCCCCCTTTTGAACAAATCTAGTCTTAAATAATATTCTACACGAATTGAGTTATAATTCATTGAAATTATTTTATTTTGGTATGTTAACTGGGGTGAATACCAAGAATAAATTTTTTTTATTATCGATTTTGATACGCAGATTTAGAAAATGTTTATGTTTATTAAATTATATTTT